GAGCATCTATTCTCTTAAGAGCTCTGACTACACGAAGAAAAGTTCCTCAATCATGTTAGGTACGAACTGGGTGAGTTTAATTTCAATGGGCCTGGAGGGCATCATGTTAGGAAAGCAGAACTTTGTATGGTATACGCTAGGTCCTCCAAGTGAACTGAAGATAAATTCAACCATAGAAAGGTGATAGAACATTTTCACAAGACAAGTTCCCTATAAACATTTGAAATACACTTCACCAAGACTGGTGTCCTTCATAGATTTCCATTATATTTTACCACACTATTACATTTAATGCAATGTGTTTAAAGCCACACTACTAGCAGTACATTCAATAACCGCAAAATAACGTGTATTTCGTCTGTTAAAAGTTAAATCAGCATCTCCTTCAATTTGGGCCTAAATATTCAACTTTGCAACTGCCTGTATTCCTATCAAAATTTTAAAGGAATCATATATTCCAGGAGTCCCCAATCTGTGGGCTATGGCCCATTACCAGGCCGTGGCCTGCTGAGCACCAGGCTACAGAAAATGGGATACCACATGGTGCAAATGGGCTGCCCCATGGCAAAAACAGGGTGGTGCTAGCGCCACGTGATACTTGCTCCATTTTTGCTATGCGGGCACTAGCACTGCCCTGTTCGCATCGCGCGTGCTCACAGCCACGTTTGTGTCCGTGAGCATGTGTGCATAAAATGCTTCCCCCTCCCTTTCCCTCCAGTCCTCCAACCAAGAAAAGTTGGAGACCTCTGATATATTCCATCCCTCTTTATCCTTTTTTCCGTTTTCTGTCTTCAAATGTTTGAATCTAATCTTCGCTTTAAATTATAAACTTTCTCAGAGTAAGGGCCTGTCTTGTTATTCCAAACATTTCCAATGAAAGAAATTATACATTAGGAATGAGATAATTTTCTCAATGGTGGATCCAATACAGTGATATTTCCTCCATGGATAGAACCTCAAGGGTTGTTTCCTTTCCAGCCCAAAATCAAAATGCTGATTTCCTCAGGCATTTAATTTTTGTGTCTATCTGTCTCTCTCTCTCTCTCTCTCTCTCTCTCTCTCTCTCTCTCTCTCTCTCTCTCACACACACACACACACACACACACACTCTATAATTTATCTATAGTACCGTATATTCCGGCGTATAAGACGACTGGGCGTATAAGACGACCCCCAACTTTTCCAGTTAAAATATAGAGTTTGGGCTATACTCGCCGTATAAGACTACCCCTCTTTCAACGCACACCAAATAAAAATTAAAAAACATCAGATTTGATTTCAATATGGTAATTTTAATTCAAATGCTTATGGCATAAAGGTACTTAGCAGGAAAACTGTCACTTATAAACATAAGGCTGTTTGTCATCAAACATGTAAACATAAAACAGTGCAAGTGATTAAACTTTTCCTAATTCACTCTAAAGCTGAAAGGAAGGATAAGACAATAAACCCATGGGAGCTGCCATGCTATTTGTTTTCTAAGCTGTCAACCAAACTGGAACTGATGATGATAGGAGGAAGATAACAAACAATAGAGAGAGCAAGTGCCGGGCAAGTCCCTGGCGAGTCAGCAACGCCCATCATAACTGCAAGCTATTTTTATAGGTTTTGCTGGCATGATACTTTCCCTTTAAAAGCCTTTAAAATCATCCTGTTCATCATCTGATATCATAAAAATATCAATGACATCTTGTGATACATTTGCAAGGCAGTCATCGTATGGATCGAATTCCGTATCAGATGGTGTGGTCTCAGCTTCGGCTTCCTCTTCATCTTGCCACAAGTAGTCGTCCTCCATACCATCTAATGAATTTGATATGCCACACTTCTTGAAAGACTTGATTATTGTTTCTGCATCAATATCATTCCAGGCTTTTATGACAAACTTGCACAAAACATCCAATTGTGGAGCACGCATGTTTCCTCCTTTTGTGAATGACTTTTCGCCACTAACCATCCATTCATTCCACTGTTCTCGAATGCGATCTTTAAATGGCTTGTTTAGGCATACATCCAGTGGCTGTACTAACGATGTTAATCCTGCAGGAATAACTGCCACATCTGTGTTTAGTCTTGCAAGCTTTTGCTTGGTGCTGGGAGTTAAATGAGCCCTGAACATATCCCACACCAGTAGACTACGTTTTTGAATAAGTCCACCTGGTCGCCTGCTCCATACATTATCAAGCCATAGCTTTACCCCTTCTTCATCCATCCAGCCTTTTTCATTCACATGTACAAAACAACCAACAGGGAACTTGAGTTTTGGCATTGTTTTTCTTTTAAAAATAATCATTGGTCTCAGTTTGGCACCATCAGCTGTGCATGCTAGTACCACTGTAAAACTGGACTTCTCATGTCCTGTTGTTTTAATTAAAATTGTTTTTTCACCTTTCTGATGGACAGTTTTATTTCCAACCATATCAAAATTCATTGGAGTTTCATCCATATTTCCAATACTACTTAATGCATAGCCATGTTTAATGCGCTGTTGTATTATGTATTGATGGAAACTAATTACTTTGCTATCAAGATCTGCAGGTAATTTTTGTGCAATTTTCGTCTTTTGCCTCAGTACCATATTATGCCTTTCCAAGAATCTAGTACACCAGGATGCAGTGGCCTTAAATCTGTTGCTGTGATCTGGGTTAGATTTGGCCCACTGAAGTGCAAACAAACGTATTTTATTTCGTGTCACTACATAACCGTTTTGGCGATGCTCATTCACCATGTCTGCTACATGTTTTTCAAGTTCTGGCCAATGTGGGGTGCCTCTTCTTAATGCACACTTACCCCTTGGCATACTCTTTAATGCTTTTTCATTTGCCTTCCAGTCCCGAACCATCTTTTCTGTTACTCCATATTGTCTTGCAGCAGCGCAGTTATTATGTTCCATGGCAAAGTTTACAACTTTAAGTTTGAAACTGGCTTCATATTTCCTTCTTCTTGCTGGTGGAGCCATGATAGGGTCTTGACTATTGGACATTTGTATACTGTACTGTATGTATTGGTGCTGTACTGTATGAACTGGTACAGATACTGGTGCTGTACTGTATGTACCCAGTATACAACAACCAGCCAATCACAGCAAGCGATGAACCTTAGCTGGTTGTTGTATACAAAGCCTGCTTGGATTGGGTGGATCAGCTCTCCCTGCCTGCCCAACCCTTCCTGTCATCTTATAGGCCAGGGGTAGGCAACCTTGGCTCTTTTATGACTCATGGACTTCAACTTCCAGAATTCCTGAGCCAGCTATGCTGGCTCAGGAATTCTGGGAGTTGAAGTCCATGAGTCATAAAAGAGCCAAGGTTGCCTACTCCTGTATAGGCCCTAGGGAAAAAATGGACAAGCTAATTCCATGAGGGAGGGGGAAAGGGAGCACAGTTTCTGAGTTCTCATTGGCCACCTGTAAGTCCAAATGAGTAGCTCAGGGTGTGTGCGTGCACATGTAGGCATGCGTGTGACTCCCTGGGTCCCTTCCATTGCCCTCCCCCCAGTAGCAAGCTTTGGCTTGGAGCAAACAGGCTGCACACAGGGATCTCCTCCTCTCAGTCTTCCACCCTGCGAATACTCCACAGCCTCTCCAAGCTGAGTGAGCAGAAAGCCTGCCTGTTTTTCAAAGGCTCTGCCTTGTCAATCGCACACACACCTTGATGAAAATTGCCCTGCCTGCAAAAGGACTTCTCAGCAGTTTTTTAAAGCAACACTACCAAGAATGAAATTGGAGACAGCCAGAATGTTTAGGGAAGAAGGAAAGGAAGCAGTTAATAAGCTAAGTAAGAAAGGCATTCGCCCTTCGAAAACTTGCATTTCCATAAATGTGATAAGTTGCCCCCTTTTCAGGTAATGGGGGGGGGAGTAAATGCTTTCCTTTTAATTTGTTATTAAAACTCAGTGCACTACAGTACTTATAGATGGGAGCCAGATTGACCAGCCAGGATCTGTCATAAATAACACCACAAATGCACCATGCAAGTTTATTTAGGCAGGGGGGGGAGAAACTGCTTGCATAAGCTCGGGCAAAAGGATTGTGTAGCTGTTTTCTGTCCCCACTCCATTCCTGCTTCTTAACTCCGAGAGGAATTTAGCTGACACCCCTCCCCTTCCAGACCCATAAGCTCCGCCTCCCCCAAGCTACTCTCACCGGCAGTGAGAGGTAAACGCTGAAAAGCTTGCATGAAGAAGCACTGAAAAGTGCCTCGAATGGACGCAGATGCTTAGGTTTGTTTTCATTATATAAAAAAACCACCCTACAATTCTTTTCCCCCCTTCCCCATTACATGGGCCATCCCTTTCTACTTCCTTTGAATGAATTAATCAGGGGATGGCCACTACCAATCCGCAGTTCTGGAGGGGTGGGCAAGGAATTGGGATGCAAAAGGGAGGGAAGAAGAGAGGAGACGGTTTGCAATGTAGCATTATAGAATGGGGATTAAACCTCCAGGAAATCTTACCGTCACAACAGCCAGATAATGCCTATCGTACTCTCAGAGATATCTTTAGTTGATCGGCTGGTTTTAATAATAACCCTAGGACTCTTTTTGAGTGAGAGAGAGGGGGGGGGGAAGAGAAAACTTGCTGAGTAATATTTTTCCGGCGTATAAGACGACCCCCCACTTTTGCGAAGATTTTAAGTGTTTAGAAAGTCGTCTTATACGCCGGAATATACGGTATATCTATCTATCTGTCTGTCTGTCTATCTATCTACCATCTATCTACCTACCTACCTACCTACCTACCTACCTATCTATCTACTATCTATCTATCCAGGGCTTTTTTTTCTTACAGAACGCCCATCTCACTCTGAGTGACTCTTAATTACCTGATTTGCTCAGTTGATGTGTCTACATTTTATTAATGTCATTTTAATTTCTCATTTTTAGGTGGCATCTTTTTCAATATTATGCACCAAGTGTGGAGCTTAGAAATTTGAAGTAGAAATTTCTGAGCATTTATAAGCTTTAAAGCATAAATTTACATATTTACAAAGCACAGGTCCTTACCCATTCTTTCAAGATCTGGCGCACGGCCTCATCAGCTCTTAAGGTGTTTCGGCAGGCGAGAATAACATGGGCACCGTGGAGGGCAAAGGATTTTGCTGTTTCAAAGCCTGTCACAAAACACATATTGAGAAGACACAGTAAGGTACACAACATCGGGTCATTAGGGAAATATGTCTGTCTGGGTCCTAAGACAGTTACTCATTTAGCATTTGTTGGAAATGTGTATTCTCCTGACTCATCAAATTTCAAGCTAGCTTACAAAATCTGGAACCGATACAAAACAAAGTCAACTTAAATGCATACAGTAGATATAGAATAAAAATAGCAGCGTTAAACTTGGCAATCAGCTTTTTTCTGCTTCAGATGTGAATTCATTAGCGTGATTAACTGTTGCTCTTTTGCGTTTTATCCATTTCCTTTGAGATTTTTCAATTACGGGTTTCTTTTCAAAAGTGCTTCAGCTAACATTTTAAATATTACACAGACTTTGGGAGCAGAGCTACTTGAAGCCATCCAAGGAAGGGGACGGCAGCGTAAAAAAACGCTGTAAACGAATCAAAAAGCCAAGGCAAATCAACGTGACCGAAACTCTTTAAAAAACCGACAAGATCTTAGTACATGAATTAATCCTCTGTCTCAGTTAGTGCAAGCATCCTGCCCTTGAAGAGGCGATGGAGAAAAAGGACCCGTTTCAATTTTTATCCCTTAAATGTGAGAGGATGAAGTCAGGGTCCCTGGCTGCTTTTCACAAAAGCAGACACAATATTTATTTATTTCCTTATTTCCCACCTTTATTGTTTTTACAAACAAACACACCCTTCCTCTTCCTATTTTCAATGATTTAAATCCTCCTTCTCCTATTAAATCCTCCATCTGTTTCCAATCATTTCAGTCAATCGATTCACAAACCTCCAGACTAGGGGGGGGGTCTGCAACCTTGACAACATTAAGACTTGTGGACTTCAGCTCCCAGAATTCCTCAGCCCTCCCAGAATTCATAGGCAACAAAGCTATGACAGAATCAGGTAGTCCTGCTAGAAATACTTCGAAACCTCCTAAGCATTTTGTTGTGAAAAATCTACCCACAAATAAGAAACGGGCATTATATTCCAAGTTAATACTTTCCAACTAGAAAGACTCAAATTAGCGCTTGAATATTCAACCCAACAGATAATACAACCGGGGGGGGGGGGGATGACCATTTGTTCCTCTTTTGTTTTAAGCAGGATTGGTTTAAATCTTATTTATCTAAAGGAAAAACACTATTAAATATACGCAGCTTCACTTCTAGCGGTACCCTGGGGCCAGACAAATTTAGTTTACAACATAGGGTATAACTTAAGATTAAAGAAACAACATCTTACATAAATTTATACCATTCTGTGCAATTACATGCTTAGAGTGTTTAAGTCTAAGCAATTTCTCTTCCTTTTTAAAGCCATTCATTGTATCAGGCAACTTTAATTATCTGAGTAATTCACCGCACGCAGATGAATCTAGTTTTCAACATATGCAAAATACTTTTCCCTCTTTTAATTCCACTGAGCAAATGCAAGCGAGGAAAGTTTCTGAAGATAGTTGCTGAGCTGCTCCATTTTTAGTGGGCCATATGCTTTACTGTTTTAATAAAATAAAGATTGATATTTAAAAGCCATTTACATTTGTTTCAAAATTGGTTTCATACTGTAATGCAAACAAGTAGCACTTGGTTACTAAGTTTAACTACTCCCCAGCAAATTTCTAACAGAAGATCAGAAGTGCTGAAAATTAAAATGGTTGCTTAGTGCCTTCCTTTTCCCGTAAATCAGGGGTCTTCAAGCTTGGCCCTTTTATGACTTGTGGACTTCAACTCCTAGAATTCCTCAGCCAGCATGCCTGGCTTAAATGTTTACATTAAAACCATAGACTTCTCTTTAGAAATTGCAAAAATATATTTCACAGATATATAGAATTAGGCACAAATATGTGTAATTTAACAGGTATTTTCAGAGAATTATTGAGATATCTAGGCGGATCGCTGGGCAATGGGGGATAAAAGGCATAGTAAGATTACCTACATGAGGCTGCCTTTGAGAAGTGCTCAAAAATGTCAGTGATTCAAAAATGTAATAGCCAGAATATTGCCTAGAGCTAGTTATGGGAAGATGCAATTTCTTCATTACAACAGTTTCATTGGCTTCTGAACTGTTCCCAGACAATTTAGAAAGCTGTCTATAAATGTTGAAGCCTCAAAAGGCTTAGAGATAAAATATCTAAAGAATCGGTAAGAATTTGGCCATTTACTTTTCATTATTTGATAAGAATCTCCCTAGTTATTAAAATATTGCGTAGAGGCTATCATTCTGGTCCCATTAATGTCTGACTTACATTGCCTTGTGTTCAAGAATGTACCTTCACAGAGGTGAAGGTTCTCACACCTGCGATTTTCTTGCAGCGTTAAAGCCCTTTTTTTCCAGTAAGCATTTGACTAAATCATGAGTTTTAAACTCATGATGTAGTTTTAAAATAGTTTGCTACCAGATTTTCAAAACTTTTTTTATGGTGGAGAAAGTCACCATGGTAAACGAATGCAGGAACTAAATATATTTTAGAGTTGGTGTACCTTAACCTAAGATATCAACTTCCCATTCTAAATCTATTCTAAAAAGTGTTTCTTTTCCCAAAATATTCTGAATTCTGCAGAACCTTAAAATCTTCATTACTGAAGTCAAATCAACCCTGGCAATCAACGGGGTGATGAATACTGCCACAGTCATCCTAATTCCAATGAAGTAATAGCAAGCCATTATTTGCTATTTATTACATTTATATGTTGTCCATCTTTCTGGCAAGGAGATTCTGGTCAGCTTACAGTTCATCACTTGGATTCAATGCTCCTTCCATCTAGGCAACTGAAATTTTGAAACTCAATCAAACACAATCTGAAAGTGGGGAGAAGCAGAAAAATTTCTTTTCCTTTGGACAACCTACAATCTGCAATTTTTGTTTTACAACTGAGAACTAGTAATAGTAGTAAAGTTGGAAGGGACCTAATCCCCTGCCCAGGTAGGAAACCCTACACCATTTTGGACAAATGGCTGTCCAGGCTCTTCTTAAAAACTTCCAGTGTTGAGCATTCACCACTTCTGCAGGCAGGTTGTTCCACTGGTTAATTGTTCGAACTGTCAGGAAGTTTCTCCTTAGTTCTAGGTTGCTTCTCTCCTTGATTAGTTTCCACCGGAAAACATTTAGAGCATTTAGAACATTTAGAGCAAAGAAAAAATTGTCACCTACTTTTGCAATTAAAACTGAAGCTGCCTTCTGGGATAATGGTGGGAACAATGACAGCTATGAGTACAAAAATATGGTGGGTTTTTTTTTTTTTTTTGTTCCCCCAGAAAAAGAAACAGGACCCAACCTCAAAGCAGCATCTTCTTTCAGATGTAGCCATTCTTCTGCAGCTCCTGTGAGCAGGCCTTACTGCAGAAGAGAGTCCTAATTAAGCATTAAGGAAAAACAAAATCAGCTGCATGTTTTAAATCTCCTTTTGGCAAGTACAATAGTGCGATATTAATACAAGCAGTTTCATAAAATTAAAAAGGCATATTTCATCTCCGATGAAATTAGAAGACTGTTTTGTCAGCTAAACGATGCTGGATCCTTCAAGCATTAAGCCACAACACATTTTCTCAAGAGTTGAGGAAACAAGTGCAACTTCAAAGAAAAAAAATGGAACACACGACGATTAAAAAAACGTTATTAACAAAAGCTAACGTTATACCCAATATGAGTTTAAAGTTACTAAAGTATAGTTACTTACGATCACAATTCTGTCCCTAAGCAAGATAGTTATTAAGTGAATTTTGCCCCACTACACCACCTTTCTTGCCATAGAAAGTTCATAGATTTTTATAAGGTGTGTTGAATTATTTTTGCTAGCCCTTCATAGTCAATATGACTGAATTGGGCAAACCGTATGAATGCCTTAAATTAAATAAGTAAATAAACAACCGGCCATTTTGTTTGGGGTTCTTTTCAAAAACATCTCTGATGGAGTAGTAGATTCAGAGTGGAAAGCTTTCAAGAAGACACTGTGGCTATGTAGTGTTATCAGCAGCCACTTTTTTAACTGGGTTCTCATGCCCCAAGGAAGAACAAGATCAGGCATGTTCCATCATCAGAATAACAAGAGTCCCTAGAGATGAGTTGGCAAGTCCTTCCCTCTGCATTTGATTGTAAAATAAAGACTGAATCAAGTTGGTTCTTGCTATGTGAAACTTCCATGTAATGTTTGCCTCAATCATCTTTTGGGAAGGTTCCCCCCCCCCCAATTTCCTAATATAGTTTACCACCTTGGGTTTCTCTGGTGATCTTCCTCCAAATAGTTAACAGAACCTATCCTTACATTTTCAAGATCTGCCATCTGCTGTATTCCTACATAAATATTTTAGAAATCTAACTGATCTTAATGTGATTTTAAGAAGGCTTAAGAAGTGTTAAAACAATTGAAGAGGCAAGAGAAAGCAAGAAACATCACGCTTGGAAACACGGTCTCCAGCATCATGCCCTTCAAGCCAATTTTTTTTTCCCGTATGTATTCTCCAATCCAATTTGTCAAGAAGACCCAACAATCCCCTGTTGAAGGAAAAGTCTTCATCAGGGTCCAGTCCCCAAAAAATAAAATTGAGTTCCAAGGCTTCTAAGGTTTCCTGGAATACTCCCAAGAATGACATATGCTACTACGGCGCAGATTGTAATGTGATTTGCTCATTTTATATTTCTGAATTTTCTGCATTTCAGCTATCTTCAGATGCACAAGTGTATCTGATCATAAAATGTCCTGATTTCAAGCAAGTTTAAAAGTCACTTGATGTTCCTCTATTGGGTGACTGTTCTAAGCAATTGGGAATAGTCGCACCGCAATTACATTTTTATTGTGTGCTGTTCTACCTTATTTCCAACTAATTTTGTTTTAGTTTTATTCTATGAAATATGTAATGCCTTTCAGTGTAACATTAAAACTGTAAAATAGGTTAGATACTCTTGCTTCGAAGACAGACTTGCTAATTCAGATGCCTTCTTTGGATAGGAAAATGTCTGTGTCTGTGTGTGTGTATGTGTGTGTGTG